ATCTTATTATTTTTGAATTGCCATAACTTCTAGTTTGGCCAGAAGAAATCAGATCTAAGACATACGAAGCCTAGAAAAAATATATATATACATTTAAATTTCATTACTCTCACCTTTGTATTTTGAAGCAAACCAAGAAATCATTTTTCTTTCTGAATTGCATTAGGCTTTTTTTTTTCTCTGTTAGTTTGCGAAGTACTAAAGGAAACATAAAACAGCAGAGATCAGACAAGAAAATGGCAGAACTTGGAAAAAGTTATTTTCTAAATAAAATAACTTCCAGAGTTTTTAGTTCCTCTATCTAGAATTCTGATACTGAATATTTATGCACAGAATTTTCATTGAATTTTGAAGTCTTAGTTCAGCTCAGCTGAAGTAAGAATCTTAAGGGGATGGCATCTATTCCACTTGAAAGGAATTCACACACATAGGAAAGAGGAGTAAACAAAACAAAAAAGAAAAAAACAAATACACTGCAGAAGCTAATAATAAGTACACAAAGTACACAAGTGTATTTATTACATTTTGCAAGCACTTTGTTCTACATTTCAAAAACGCCACCATCAAGCTGTTGGCACATTTATGTACAAAACAGATTAATTGTAATGCCTGCTACAAAGCACTCTGTGAAAATACAAACTCTAATACCAGAAATGAAAGCCAAAAGTGTCAACATCATTACATAAGTTGAAAAGACAGTTTTAGAAATCATCACAAACTGTTAAGACACGGAACTGAAACTCTATAATATAGAATTTAAAGAAGCCCATTAATACTTTTGCTGAATATCTGTAATACTGCATATATCAGAAAAATGTTGAACCAGTAAGATAATCTAAGCGTAAAAAAAAGGAAGCAAAATGAACCCCAAATTAATTAAATAATACTACAGAATGCATAATCATGCCACAGATAACCCTAGTAATACCCCCTACCTACTACAAGAACTTGTAAAATTACTGATGATGCATGACTAGTCATTGTACAAAGATTGTTTCACTCAATAAATTTTATTAGAAATGCAGTTACACTGAGAAAGGATTTCACAATGGTCAAATCAGTGCACAATACTACCTAGTTTTATACACTGACAAAAATGTCTTGTCAGGCTACATCATTTTAATAGACACTTTACAGCATTCTTGTAGCATTAGAAATAATCAAAATAAGAGAGTCAAGGTTAAAACAAACACCAAATTTGGTCCAATAATACCGATTGCTTTTTTTAAAACTTCTTTGATACAGGTACTTTTTATAAATGAATATGAATGAATATTCAGTTAAAATGACTTACTTGAAATAAAAACACAAATATATCACTAACACTTCCAAACAATACATTCTATAGGGGCCTCTGACCACACTTTAGAAAACACTACAGGTAAACCAACATACATTGGAAGGCTGCAAGCAAAGCTATTATATTAATGGAAGCCTTTTCAAATATATCATACACATTTTAGGAATAGTTTACAGAGGTGCAATCCATTAAAACTTTTAAAGTAGGTAAAACAACTTCCAAGGGGTTAGTGTGCTTATTTGTAATAAACCACCTTCATAAAGGTAATTAATTTTCCACATTAGCATATTAAAAGTTCCAATCCAGCCACTTCTTAAATCACAAAGAGATCATTCTCCAATAGTCTACAGTAGTTATTTCCATGAAAATTGTCTCTATATACTAAACTTTAAAAGGTAAGCCTGGTGTCACAATCTTAAAAAGGCAACTAGCCATGCATTAGCATTACTGTTTCTACATGCTCACAACATAAACATGAGTAATCTGAGAGAAATACCTTTTAAGAACATCAAGAAAAAGTACAATGTTAACAAAGATAAGAAGCACTTTTTTTTTAAACCTACTCTTACAAATTTAGAAATTGCACCTTAGATTGATGAAAACATGAACCAGGGCCTATAGTAATGTGGCCACTGATCTTCAGACAAGATTTCCATATTTCAAGAGTCATCGTGATGTCATCTCTGTCTATTGTTCATAATGTACAATGGTCCCTTTGAAGGTTACCTGTAGTTAAACTAGTTACCGAAATCAGAACTAAAGAGTATAAAAAGCTATTTCTTTTTAAAACATAAGAAATAATGCAAAAGGTGTTATGTATAACACATGGGAAATGGTTAGAAATCAAACAGATCTTTGCATTTGACAATGTTAGTATCTTCAATCTTACAGAACTAGTAAATGAGTTTGAGAAATTTCAAAAAAAATAAAAAAAGGCTGGATAGGAGCTTGTAGAAAAGATCTGATTACATCAATTTAATAAATTGGGAAATTAAGTGCCAAACAACAAAGAATTGTACTCAGGTGATTCATAAGTCACCTTACATATCCTTGATGAGAAGCACTTTCATTTTGTTTTTTAAAGGTTGGATGGTTGGATGGCCCTTAGTTAAACACCAATGCATTCAAATGGTAGGAAGAACACGAAGATGCATTTATGTGTATGCATTAAGCCGCTCTTTGGAGCGAGTAGAATGGATGTCATGAAGCTCTTGCTCTTCCTTCGACTTGATGTCTTCATACTTCTGCATCCGGCAGGCATCTTTCACATAGGCCCAGTTGGCAGACAGAACCATAAGGTAGTGAACCTAATCAAAGACAAAAATAATTTATATCGGAAGTTTGTTCAGTGTCTTCATTACACCTTGCTGTCTGGAAAGAAGTCTTCAAATTTTATGTCTTTACAGGAAATGTTTACATATAAAATGGAACCAAAATTTTGTTAATAATAAAAACAATATAAAATATGTTTTTCACTCCTCCAACTATATCCCACCATATTCTTGGCAGCCTTTTTTTTATCTCTTTCTTTTCTTTTTCAATTCTGAAGTAATCCAAAACTAATTATTAATCTTTATAGCCTCGTGTATTGGCACATGCCTGTAGTCCCAGCTATTCCGGAGGCTAAGGCAGGAGAATTGCTTGAACCCGGGAGGCAGAGGTTGCAGTGAGCAGAGATCACGCCATTTTACTTCAGTCTGGGTGACAGAGCGAGACTCCGTTCAGACTGAAACTACTGAGTTTTATTTTTTTTAAATAACCTAATTTGTTTTTCATAAATGACTCTATGTGGCTTTTTATTGTTCTTAGTTATGGAAAAAATGTAAATTAAGAAACTGATTATTCAGAATGTCACAATGGTATATATATATATATGCTACAGAAATAATTTTTACACTTATAGTTCCTAATGAATTGCTGTTTTTGTTAATGGTATCAATAGTGTAATAGTATTTCTTTGAGTTTAGCCTTGTTGTTGGCTTACTTGCCCATTGTTTTTCCTACTTTTTTTAATCTGATGAAATAAATGTGTATTACATGAACTTCAAACATTAGAGATAGTTTATCTTCTCCACAAGCAAATCGCTCTGGAATTCACATTGAAAAAGCAAGCGCCAGAGCTTGGAGGTCTTACCATAGCAATGACTGCTGCCCCAGCTCCAGCAAGTGCCACAATAAACAAGTGGAAGGTCATGTTCAGCTGCAACGGAAACCACAGAGAATCAAAAGGTGTCAGAATTACAGGTAGAAGAGAGGTCAAGATTGCTACTGTCTTATAAACAAGACTTTGTACATCTTAACTAAAAGAAAGCCTGTGATAAATCACCCACTCCATCAGAACAGATTATTACAATATATTTTCCCCTTTAAATCATTTAAATCTTTTCAACTTCATCATTATAATATAAGGTCATTATAGAGATGAGATAATGATTAACAATGCTGGTTTTCATCAGTAATATTACAATAATATAAGGAGGGCTATGGTCTCTTTAAATGTAACTTCATCATGTTTTCAACCTTCATTAAAATTAGATTCTAGAAAATTTGAAATAGTTATAATTTTTATTGAATATGGAAAGCATATAATTCCTATTTATCTTCTACTTCCCCTGAATAACACAACTACAAGTAAAATTGCCTCTGGGAGAATAAAGAGAAAAGTCATTATAGATTTGGTTTTAATATATTATCCAAATAAAATGAATGCTAAAATTCTGACAAAATTAAAAGCTGTAAAAGCACTCACCTCAGTAGATTCACACATCCTCAAGAAATTCTCAGAAACAGTACAGATTTTCTTTTCCTCTCCAATTGTCACAATTCCTACAATGTGTAGAAAATTACAGTTTAGCAGTGTAAATGTTTTGAAGAGCCAAGAGAAAAAAAATGAAAGTTTTTGCTAATCAAATCTAAGCAAGTTCCATTTTGTCTTGTGTTATAACAGAAAACTTCTTTAGTTTTCATTGTGGATAATAACTGTGCATAGAATTATGAATATAATATGCAAAACTATTTTGCCCTCAAGCAATTTAAGTAATTTCAATCTGAATTCAATTGAATCTCACCCTCAGAATTTCCAGATTCAATTATAGCCAGTTCATTGGTTTGACCCATTAACGAGATAGTTTAGGCATCACAATTATTTTGGTAACTATGCCCCAGACTGTGCTGAAGTCAGGATCTAAATTTGTTCAGCTAGTGCAATGCTTCTCTTAATCTGCAAAAGCATACTGCCCAAAGGAGTACTTTTCCTTCCTTCAATATTGAAAACAATGCTATTATTAACAGGAAATGAAAAGTTGCTATATCACTTCTATTTACCCCTGTTCCAGTTGGTTCATGGACCAATTACATTAGAATCACCTAGGAAATTGCCAAAAATATGTATTTTTAGACTCTAGCACAAAACTGGTAGATAGGAATCTATGAATATTAGGCCTAGAACACTGCATTTTTAAAACGAGCACAGAGGCAATTCATTGGCATGTCTCTGCATCTCATTTTTAGAGAGCAAAGTAACCACGTTCATCCTATGATGGCTCTTTAATTTTGTTTTGAGAACTCTTGAAGTGCTAAACACATACAGGCATGAAAACATACGAAGCGCTAAACACATACAGAACATTCTAATACCAAAGCTTTAGCATTTGCTGCTCTTTATTTAGTTGTTTTTGTTGTTGTTGTTTCATTTTCATGGTTTTTTTGTTTTATTTTGTTTGAGATGGAGCCTCACTCTGTCATCCAGGCTGAAGTACAGTGTTGCCATCTCAGCTAATTGCAATCTCCCCACTCCTGGGTTCAAGCAATTCTTGTGCCTCAGCCTGCAGAGTAGCTGGGATTAAAGGTGCACGCCACCACACCCAGCCAAGTTGTCTATTTTTAGTAGGGACGAGTTTCACCATGTTGGCCAGGCTAGTTTCAAACTCCTGACCTCAAGTGATCTGCCCACCTCAATCTCCCAGAGTACTGGGATTACAGGCATGAGCCATGGTGCCAGGCCTTCTTTATTTAGTTTTAATATGTATTTACATATTCTTAGGTTTATGGGATATCATCAACTCTCCATCTCTTACAGAGCTGCTTCTGTTATTATTTTCGCCCTTGCCAATGGTTTGTGGAATCTGTTTCAGTGTGAAAAAAATCTATTTGTAGTGAACAAATACATAGATCCCTTTCTTCAGCCTTTCCTTTCTGCCAAGATGGTTCCAAGAGGGTGTAAAATTTAAAAGGGTTCTCTCATGAAATTTCCTCCCTAAAATATTTACCATTATTGAAAAAGCTTTTGGGTCAAGGCATTATCTCTTCATAGTAATACATTACAGACTTCATTCTATGGGATATTTATGTTGTGGTTACATTTCCTTATCCATTTCTCAATTCACATCTTCAGCAAAACACCTAGAAAGTGTTAGCCTAAACTTACTACAATTTATTTTCTTTCATTTCTACTTAAACTCTCTCAAGTCAGATTTTGCCCCATCTCCCCTCCTTGGAAATTTTTCTTATACAGATCACTAATGACTTCCAAGGATTAATTCTCAGTTTTCTTCTTCTTGCAAGTTGGCAGTATTAAACACAGTGGATCCCACCTTTTCCTTCATGCTCTCTTCATTTGGCTTCTAAAATCTACAGTCTTCAGTTTCTGCCTTTCTGATCTCATTGGCTCATTCTTCTCACTTCGTTGTCTGTTGCCTCATCTTCTCTCTGACCCCTTAAGTTGGAGCTTCCCACCCTTCACTCCTTAGCCCTCTTTCTTCCATGCATATCTCATTCAGTCCCAGATATTTAAAAATTATCAACAACTCCTAAATCTATGTTGCCATCCCATATCTCTCTTCTCAAATCAGGATTCATAAATCCAATTTCTTATCTGACAATTCTATTTGGATTTCTAATAAGTATTTTTTAAAAACTTCTGCAAAACAGAACTTCTGCTCTTCTCCTTTGCTGGCTCCACTCCCAAGCAAACACTTCTCATAGCCTTGTTTATGTTTCTTGATAGCAAATCTTGTCACTGGCTCAGCCAAAAGAAATTCCTCTTTGAATTCTCTTTTTTTTCCCCCAAACCCTACGTACAATCTATTAAGAAATTATTTTGCCTCTATGTTCAAAATACATCCATAATCAGACCAATTCTTCCCACCTCCCTTGCCATCTCATCTTCTGATCCAAGCCACCAAAACTTCCACTTGGATTACTACAATCATTTGCTAACTGGCTTCCATGCTTCTACCCATTCTACAATCTATTCTTCAAGTAGCAGCCAGAGTAATCCTCTATTAGTCAGACCATGCCCTTTCTCTGACAAAATCTGTAATGATTCTCTACGTCCCTCAGAATAAGGCCCCAAACTTACAATGTCCTGTAATGTACTCATCAAGATGGTACATGCCAGGAACTCGTAGACTTCATCTCAATCTTTTGTTCACTCTATTATTCTACTTAGGACTCACTGGCTTCCCTGTTGTTTCCCGAGGAGCCAGGTATCATATTGGCTTGGTAACTTTGCACTGGCACTTCTCTCTGACAAGAATATTCCCAGAGCTAAGTTTCTCCTGTCCTTTAAAGGACAACTGCTCAGTGACAACTTCCTGGATAATTTTAAAAAATACTATCGTTACAGTAGGTAGTTAGTCAGCATGAATAGAGCAAAAGGGTCCCCCAACTCACCGCCCACTGAGGATATCAGGTCACCATCAGGTGATGGTCAGGCAGTTGTTAACCGTGACTCTAAAATAATAATTGATCATAGCTAGCTCCCAATAAAGAAACACCTGAATCTGGTGATCCGCAGCTTCCTGATATGAACTCAGGAGTTGGACAAGTGGGCTCAAGCATGCACACTAAGAGGCAAAATGGCAGAGTGTAACGGATATATGACCTTCCTCTAAGGACACTCAAATGATAAGTGACAAACACCTCAAATGAGCATATGTGCAACTACAGCAAACACACTGCACATGCGGCCCCTCCCAAGTGCTGGCCAGCCACTACACATACAGACAGCCCACCCCAAGGGAGTAATCAGGTGAGAAGTATGCAGGACCCCAGAAGAATGCCGATGTATAAAACCACAAGTCAAAAGATCAGACATTTCATTTGATCTCTGAAGTCAGTCACCTGGTCCTTTTCCAAGTGTACTTTACTTTCTTTCATAACTACTGTAAAACTTTTAAATAAACTTCCACTCCTGCTCTGAAACTTGCCCTGGTGTTTCACTCTGCCTTATGCTCCTCAGTTAAATTCTTCCTCCTGAGGAGGCAAGAAGTGAGGTTGCTCAGACCCATATGGACTTGCTGCTGTTAACACCATTACTGAATCTCCAGTATTCCTGATGCTATATGTATATGTGTCTGCACACACACACACGCACACACACACACACACACACACACACACACACACACAAAGTTTTTGTGATAAGTATACCATATATAACAAATATATTTATAATATATATAAAAGTTAATTGTAGTTTAAAAATCAAGATATGAATACTATGAAGCTCTAGAAGTGAGCATGTGGAAGATGAGCTGCAGGGTAAATTTGAAAGCCTGATTATCTTGTACCTTTGTCTATGAATGGCCAAATTGGTCACACCAAAAATTAAGTAAGTTATTCTAATTTATATCAATTTTTCTAAATGTTGAATATATATATATATTACCTATAGAAAAGTTTTAGCTAAAAGGTGCAGACTGCATTTTCATTTTCTTCAAAGCAATTAGGAGAAGAAGCAAGTTATAAGCAGGGATGGCCGGACAAGGTGGCTCATGCCTGTAATCCCAGCACTTTATGAGACTGAGGCAGGTAGATCATCTGAGGTCAGGAGTTTGAGTCCAGCCGGGCCAACATGGTAAAACTTTGTCTCTACCAAAAATATACAATAATTGGCCAGGCATAGTGGCGGACACCTATAATCCTAGCTGCCTGGGAGCCTAAGGCAAGAGAATCGCTTGACCAGCTGTTAGTAGAGACGAGTTTCTTCCTGTTGGCCAGGCTAGTTTCAAACTCCTGACCTCAAGTGATCTGCCCACCTCAGTTTAAACCAGGAGGCGGAGGTTGCAGTGAGCTGAAATGGTGCCACTGTACTCCAGCCTGGGCAATAGAGCGAGACTCCATTTCAAAAATAATAATAATATTGATAATAAGCAAAAACTAGGCAAGAGAAGCATCAAGAACTCAGTACAAGGAGAACTGGGGAGAACAGGAAGGACTTAATGCATTAAAGTTGCAGTAACAGGCTTTTTTAGTACTTCGTATTTTTCAAGCTAGCTAAACACAAGTAATATATTTCTGACATTGTAGGAATTGTTTGTGCCTGAAATATGACAACTTCAGAGAAAACGAAGCATAATGTGTGTACACAGTTACCAAGACTTTCATCACCAAGGCAACAAAAACCTTTGGTCCTCATTGTTGAACACCCACCTATGAGTGAGAACATGTGGTGTTTGATTTTCTGCTCTTGTGTAGGTCTTTGTGCCATACAGATGTAAGTCTGAAAGTTTGATTTGATTGCAAATATATAAATTATTTTACATAATATATATAATTTTGAGTATACAAAAAGATAAGCAATTGAAATAATATTTAAAAGTAGCTTCAGAATATATAATTTTTCTGTGAAAAGCAAATCAATCCTGAAAGATCAGAGACAGTATTAATTCAATTGTAGAATGTATTTGAGCATGAGACTCATCCTCCTACCTTCTCATGCTATCAGATTTTACTATTTTTTGAGATGCTTTCAGTGTAAAAACCTCTGTTGTGGTGGTGTTGCTTGAAGTAGCTTTAAGTAATCATTTCTTAAATTACTACTGACTATATTTCATCATGAATATTAATGAGTCAGCAAATGCTTCTGTTATTATAATTATGAGACACTCATGCTTGGTTGCCAGTTGTGATGACTAAACCTAAGTCTGTACACTTGAGGCTACCTAAAATCAGAAACAGGTTTATAATTCATCATTACAAAATTATGTCCAAGGAAAAAAGTCTTTTCCCTTTAATTTTATCATCACATATTTATCTTTTAAAAATCATTAATGTGTACAAATGTAATATAGCTATTTATCTTCATGTTGAAAAACTGAAAATTACAGGACGTATTTCAAATAAAATACAGCTTGAACATTAAAAAAATAATAAAATTTAAAAAAAAAAACCTTTGGTCCTTACTGGACAGTTGAAGTATGACTCCAAGGGTTGTAAATCCCTATCAAGAAAATTGTAAATGAGGCTTGGAGGTAAAAGCAGAATGAACAGATACTTAAAACACTCTGACATCTGATAGTATGATAGGAATTAACCCCCTATTATGAAATATAAGTGCTTAAATTTAAAATAATTTATCGTTTACGTTGCTAGGCTTAAAGATGATAGAATACCAGTATATCTTCTAGAGACCACCCACCTCCCCTGGCTCTGGGGGATTTTCTCCATTTTCAAAGTCAGCAACAATGGATATTTTCATACCCTTCTCTATAGTCCATCTTCCTCTGACTGACTCCTCTCCTTTGGCCCTATTTTTCATTTCTGAGGACCCTTCTGAATACATTGATGCCACCTGGATAATTCAGGCTAATTACTTTCTTAAGATCAGTTGATTAGCAACCTTAATTCCATCTGTGACTTTATTTTTATTTGTTCGTTTGTTTTGAGATGGAGTCTCACTGTATTGCCCAGGCTGTAGTGCAGTGGTGCAATCTTGGCTCACTGCAACCTCTGTCTCCTGGGTTCAAGTGATTCTCCTGCCTCAGCCTCCCAAGTAGCTGAGACTACAGGTGCATGCCACCATGCCAAGCTAATTTTTTTTTTGTACTTTTAGTAGAGACAGGGTTTCACCGTGTTAGACAGAATGGTCTCAATCTCCTGACCTCATGATTCTCCCACCTCCATCTCCCACAGTGCTTAGGATTACATGCATGAGCCACCACACCCAGCTCCATCTGTGACTTTAATTTTCCCTTGACATGTCACCTAATATAGGAATACCTACACATAGGATTAGCCTACACAAGAAAAATATAACAAAGATTTTACGAAATGAATTATTGAATTATCTAGCAGAAGTGAATATAGTTCAGTAATTAGCAATGACACATAGTTAAACATACAAAAGAATTCCCATTAGGGGTATATGTATCTAATTTATATGCAAATATTAAGTGTCTTTTGAATGGGGTAGACCTAGGTCAAAAATGCTATTTATTTCTAGTTTCAACACTATCTTCTGTTAAATCTTGGACAAATAATGTAATATTCCTAGGTCTTGGCTGCCTTCTCTAAAGAAAGTATGATGGGCCAGCTTCATGATATAAGTGTCAAACTTTATATTTTTTGTCATGAAGATTTTTTCTTTCAAAATTGAACAATACTAGCACATGACGCAATTGTTCCTTAAATATTTGTAGAAAATCAAACCAGCCCAACTGTCCCATAGAAATGATATTTGTGGGTTTTTGAACAAATATAGAAATTAACCCCTCCAGTCTTAAAACTTGAAATTTACATTTGTCTCATCTGAGTTCCTTCCTCAGGAAACGCATCATCAGGCAAGGGACTGAAACTCACCAGATCATCACATCTAAACAATGAGAGGCCAGGCGTTTCCTTCATGGTTGCCTCCTTACTCCCCAATTCCTGTCTTACATTCCTTATCCACTACAGTATATGACTCCCCAATTTTAGTGGTTTGGAGACAGATTTGAGACTGATCTCTCATCCACCTCGGCTGCAGCACCTGAAAAAGCCTTCTTCCCTGGCAATACTTTCTGTCTCAGTGACTGGCTTTCTGTGTGGCAAGCAATGTGACTTAGATGGATTCCCTGCTTCCAGCAACAAAAATAGTGTGAGCAAATAATTGAGATGAAATCCTACTGAGAAGTGTTTTATGGAAATAAGATAAAAACAAGCTGCTGTCACTAACACGTGTGGGTGTGCTGAGTAAGAGGTAGAATTGGCCAAAAGTCTAAAAGAAGCCCTACCTACTTTCTCTCTACGGTTGGCTCTTAAGTTTTATCAAATCTTCAGGTTGTAATGGAGGAAAGTTTTTTAAATTTATTGTACTTTAAGTTCCGGGATACATGTGCAGAACGTGCAGGTTTGTTACATAGCTATACACGTGCCATGGTGGTTTGCTGCATCCATCACCCCGTCATCCACATTAGGTATTTCTCCTAATACTGTCCCTCCCCTAGCGCCCCCACCCCCAACAGGCCCCAGTGTGTGATGTTCTCCTCCCTGTGTCCACGTGTTCTCATTGTTTAACACCCACTCATGAGTGAGAACATGCAGCATTGATTTTCTGTTCTTGTGTCAGTTTGCTGAGAATGATGGTTTCCAGCTTTATTCATGTCCCTGCAAAGCACATGAACTCATTCTTTTTATGGCTGCATAGTATTCCATGATGTATATGTGCCATATTTTCTTTACCCAGTCTACCACTGATGGGTATTTGGGTTGGTTCCAAGTCTTTGCTACTCTGAACAGTGCCACAATAAACATACGGGTGCATGTGTCTTTCCTCAAAGATCTAGAAATAGAAATACCATTGGACCCAGCAGTCCCATTACTGGGTATATACCCCAAAGAGGAAAGTTTTAAACCTTGCATCTAAATGACATATTGGGAATCAGTTTTAACATTTCCTCATATAAAGTTATGAGGATAAACATCTAATGTAATTGAATCACGAATATATCATTGGAGGATAACAAATCATAATGAAAGCATAAAAAATACAATACAATTATTTCATAATGCATTTTGAAGTACAGAAAATCCTAATATGATATGCTATCTACAAATTCCCCAACGATATCAAGTAATGTTTCTGCCTTCCACTAGAACTGTTTGAAATGCATACATGTATTACATGCATGGGAATGAATAGTGAGATGCATACTTCCACTACGCAGGTATAATGGCCATTACAGGCTGAGAGTTCAAGGTAGTTTAAATACCTGGTCTCCTCTAAAACAAAAGATAGCATCTATATACAAAGGAGACAACTTTGCAACAAGGGAAATTACTTTAAAGCATATTCTTATCTATTCAATTGTCTTTTTGATGAATATCAGTAAATTTTGAACTGATCCTAATACAATGTTTGAGGAATGGTTCTCTTCTGATGCTTTTTGATAATAATGTGGTTGTATGCATACATTCAGGAGTCTTATCAAGACATATAATATGGAGGGCAAATAAATACTATACAGCAATAAATTTTTGTATTAAGAGCTAAACAGAAAGTCTTAATACCTTATATAAAGGCTGCATAACATCTGAAAAGTGCCTCCTCTTTCACATCCACAGAAGAAAACGAACATTTGGATAAATCTTGATAACTATGTTGTAAACATTAATACACCTCAAAGAATAATTTTAACCACATATATATGCTTTGTGTAATATGGAAACAAATAATATAGCACATTAAAAAAAAGCAATCAGGGTTATGAACTAATGAAACTGAAATAAGGTTTTTGACTTTGAGTTGATGCCATAATGGGATGAAACGTTTGGAAGTTGGGATAGGGTGAATGCATTCCACACAAGAAATAGATGTTTATCTTTGGCGGCCAGAGGGTTGACTGCAGTAGGCAGAAAACAGCCTCCCAAAGATGTTCACATCTTTAACTCTGGAACCTGTACCTGTGTTGGAGTATGCCATGAAGGGGCGTTAAGCTTGCAGAAGAATAGTCAGGGAGATGCAATTTTGCTGGCTTTGACAGAAAATGAACTGCTACCATGATAAAGTAAAGATGTAGAAAAAACTAAAAAAGTTTGGGGAATAAAAAATGACCTTGGCTTTCAATATTGTTATTTGTCTCGTATTGCTGCTGTAACAGATTGTCACAAATGTGGTGGCTTAAAGCAACACAAAGTTGTCTCTCACAGTCCTAGAAGACAAAACTAAAAGAAAAGATTCTTCAGGGCTGCATTTCTCTGGGCGCTCTAGAAGCAGAAGCAGCTTCCTTTCCTGTTCCAGCTTCTGCAGGCCACCCACATGTCTTGGCTCCCGGCCCCTTTTCTCCATCTTTAAAGCCAGCAACACTGCATCTTTTCTGCCTTTTCTTCTGTAGTCCCTCTCTCTCTGACTGACTCTTCTCTGCTGACTCTCTCTTCCATTTTGATGGACCCTTGTGATTACACTGGGCCCATCTGGCTAATCCAGGATAATCTCCCCATTTTAATCAGTTGACTAACAACCCTAATTCCCCATTGACAAATAATCTAACATATGTATATGTTTCAGGAATCAGAATGTGTATATCTTTGAGGATCCTTTATTCCGTCTTCTTAATAGACTAATGGTTTACTTAAGATTACAGTTAAAAAAAAGCTCCTTTCCTAAAAAACGTGTTTGAAAAGCTGTGGAGTAGAAAAGAATTGTGCCGAGATTCAGGACACTCACCTTTCTATTCCAGCACGGCCTGCTGCTGGGTAGCTATATCCCTGGAAAATTATTTCATTTCTTAGAGCTCCATTTCTTTGAGACCAGACAGCTGGACTGGTGATAAATGAAGTCAATTTATAAAATTCTATGACTCTATGACATATTCTGTGCTTACTGTCATAAGGAATTTTATATACTCAGTGGTATAAGTCTCAATACTTTAAGTGAAATTAGGTTCATTAGGGGATCACAAGCACTTGAGTGCATTGAGAACTAACAAGTTTTTTTTTCTTTTTAAAGCTGAAAATATTAAGAGGATCTATTTATCTTTTACAAAGGATTATTTTTTCTCTCTTTTAGAAAGCAGGCTTGGGAAATTTTAAAATATTATTTTTCTAGAGTCTCCCAATACTTTTTCAGTTTAAAATCTGGTTTGTTAATACCGAAGACCTTATAATCACCTACTTAACTATTTGCATTTAGTATATTATAAGAAATGAAATGTTTCTAATCAGAGCATGCTAATCTCTCATGTATTTCTGAATATAAACAAGCACAGTAAAGAGAATCTGACCCTCCATGTATTCCAGCGGTAACACCTTTTTAAGATAAACTGAAGCTTTGAGAGTAGGGTTAACAGATTAACAGTAGAAACAATCTCAATGTGCCTTAGTTAAACTTGAATTTCAGATAAAGAACATATCATTTTAGTATAACTATATGCCATACAATATTTGGTACCATACTTGTCATAAAAAAATACAGCTTGTTTATCTAAAATTCAAATTTAACTGGGTGCCCTGTATTTTGATCTGGCAATCCTACTTGAGAGGCTAATCACATATTTCCCAAATTTAACTTTTAGGATCAGCAGAATAAGAGGAAGACTTCGATGACAAAGGGCTGAACGCAGAGCCACGGCTTTTTGAGCAGTTGTTCCATCGTGACCACTAGCAGCATTTGCTGTGAGCTCCTTTTCTGATATTTATAAGGGATTTGATTTTGAGAGTAAAGTCTCCCCAATGTCCGTATTCCCTCTCACCAAGAACTTCATCCATAAAGCATGTCTTTCTGCTTTCCCCCTGTACCCATGTACATATGAGCATTATTATTACATAATATTTTAGCCTTAAATAAAATTAACCAACGAGAACTGCTGACTTGTTTGGCACTCTTTGATTTCGTTATTTATTTATTTATTTATTTATTTATTTTGAGATGGAGTCTTGCTCTGTCACCTGGTTGGCACCATCTCGGCTCACTACAACCTCTGCCTCCTGGGTTCAGGCAATTCTCCTGCCTCAGTCTCCCGAGTAGCTGGGATTACAGGCAAGTGCCACCATGCCCGAGTAACTTTTGTATTTTTGGTAGAGACAAGATTTCACCAGGTTGGCCAGGCTGGTGTCAAATTCCTGACCTTAGGTGATCTGCCTGCCTCGGCCTCCCAAACTGTTGGGATTACAGGCATGAGTCCCTGAGCCCACCTGATTTCATTGTTATTAAATGCAAACTAGCGTAGTGTACTGGATTACATCAGAGGGGGGCTGAAGGATTCAACTGCTAGGGTGATGGGTGAGCCACTGTTCTGAACACACAGCTAGTTAGCTACCCCACAATCTACTTAGAGCATACACATAAAGCCACAAGCCCTTCATACCCCTGCTAATGAAATGTTTCCTGCTTTTTCGGAAGAACGAGAAAACTTCATTAGAGAAAAACACTCAGTGTCCCCAAGTGCCAATAGATTGGCTTTTAATGTCTGTTCAGAGAAAATATAATCCATTTGCAAATGTGGATTTGCATGTCTTTTATAAATTCTGTAGCTCCCATAATGTTACACATGACAACACAGAATCTCAAATTGTCTAACTGAGATTATACTCTACCTTTCCTCTTCCAGCTCAGCACTAAGTTTTAATATGAGAGGCAGTTGACTTATGAGCGAGAACAAAGCCTCTGATTCAACCTGCATTGCCCATGTTTGAATCCTAGCTCTGTCAGCTGCTAGCTGTATAACCTTGGATAAGTCACTGAACAACCTCACTGTGCCTCAGTTTTGTCATCTACAAAAGAAGAAAACAGTATTGCCCACCATTCAGAGTCATGAGAATCAAACAATGTGACACGTGTAAAATACTTAGAATAGGGTCTATACATGGTAAACCCATATATATAAGAGTATTATTATTACATGAGATTTTAGCCCTAGATGAAAACAACCAAAGTAGATTGCTGATTTATTTAGCGTTCTTTGTTATTGTTATTATTAAATGCTAGCTAAGATGCCGACCTCCCATTTCAGAAGACAATGAATTGCGTCCTTCTTAGGTGATCTTTATAGTAGATTTGACATTTTGTTCAGTTTATCATGGCAGAATGAAAGTAGAATGCAGACATCATATTGAGTTTAAAAAAGAGCAAAGGAATCAAGAAAAGGAAACCACACTTCTAACCTGCCAACACCAGGAAACGTGATCTGACATCCTGGTCAATATACATGTGTATAAGTTGCCATATTAACATCCATTCAACCTTTATTTTCTACTTTAAATTTAAAGGGAATAGTCTTAGCAGTAATACTCTGATAAATGTATCTCTGTGGTAGAAGAGGTCCTGATAGTTCCAAGTGATCTGTAATATTTTAGAGGCACTTTTGTAGGTAACACAATATGGGTTGGTGTTTTACAGTTAAGAGATCCAATATCCACCTACCAAACTGACGAAGGTCCAAGCAGAGATTTGCTCCCTCCACTAATGTGGTGTTCCGGCAGATGGTCCACAGATTAAAGTACATGTAAACTGGCAGTGAGGTGAAAGCTGTGACTCCCAGCCAGGCCAACATGAACAGGTATGTCAGCATAATGAACTGCAAAAGAGAAAAAAATGGAGAGAGAACATAATCTACCAAAGAAGATGAATTTTGTGTTTAATCTGCAAAGCTCCATATAGAAGGTTTATAGGGATACAGTCCCTAAGTCAATATCAGAACACTGCTGATTTGCAGCACAGGAGGTTGAGAAATAGTGTGTATAATGGGTTAAGTGAATAAACCTGCTGGAAAATCATATCTTGTCAGAGGTTCTGATGTACAAAAAAAAAAAAAAAAGTAATCCTTCTGCATTATAATGCCTTCTTATCCATGTATTTAACTTTAAAATCTCATCACAGATTATTTTTAAAACTTTAGAAAATATTCCTGGGTATTTAGAAAGTATTCACTTTGCAAAGGTAATTTGGGAGAATTAAAAGTCTGTCAATAAATTTATGTAGGAATAAACTGTCACCATGTCATGTCATAAATATTTAAGCTATTTAGCCATGTTTACAATTAACAAATATGGTAACTCTCAATTCACATTAGTATATAATATTAGTGTGTATTCCTGTTTTAAAAAATTTTTATAAACTTGTCTGTTTTGTTTTATGCATGTTAATTTTACCTTTTACGTATATAGTAAAATATTATTTTAATTTTGAAAATAAAGTTTTAAAAATACATTTCAGAAATGTTTTAAATATTTATAAAGTGTATAATAGGTGTTCATGTATCCTATATAAAAATGAATAAAATGCTTAGTTTAAGCATGGATTTATATGAAGTTTTAGTTCACACATGGTATAAATGCTGAATAAAAGGACATGTTGATGTATGTATTAGTGGATGAATAGTAGGCATTAGATAGAAAAATATCTGAAACATAGCCCCTGGACACCAAAAGCTACATTTCTATAGATACATGGTTCTTCTGAAATTCAGAAGCACACTTTGATCAAAGACTGGAATTGATTCAGTACAGGTATTGATCGACTTACGACCTATGCAGCTTACAACCATTCGACTTTACGACCACAATCGCTGGCCACGACTGCTCCGCGTCTGGCAGCTCAAACGTTGCCCAGCCAATAAAATGTTTCGTACATGTTTATATATTTTGATATGTTTTGCAATTGGGAAAATGTTTCCTATGGTATTTTTTACACCTGTATTTTGTATTTGTGTATGCACCTGTATTTTGTAATTTTATATGTTTTGCAAATATTAAACCAGTTGTACTGGTAACGCAGTGTTTTACTTAAACCTGACGAATGTAAAAATAAGAAATAAAATGGTGTAGAGATGATAGAAACGGCATAAAATGAACAAAGAAAATTATGTTATATAACAATAATGAAAGAAAATTATGATAAAATATGACTTAAAGACTTTTATAACATCATTTCACAGTACTGTACATATAGCCTACTCAACTTACGACCAAATCGTGTAACGACCGGTCTGTCGGAACCAATCGTGGTGGTAAGTCGAGCACTAGCTGTAGTGCATTCTGGCTTAAATTTTAACACCTCAAGTAATCACATTTTCAAAATAGCAATAGAGTATATAAATAATAAATACACTGAATGAAACTTGATCTCTTATTCAACCCTATTTATCCCTTTTGTGATGAGTTATTAGCTAGACTTTACCCCATGATTTAGATGAAATCTCAAACAAGTTAAACTTATTCAATAACTCTCACAATATATGTTAAAATTAGCACTTTTGAAATAGTAAATTTGGCAATATATTAAAATTAGCACTTTTGAAATAGTAAATTTGGAATCAATGCCATGATAGAACTTATGCACCTGTATTAAAGTTATATTGTGATTAACACAGAGATTATTGGGATTAAGGATAGGAAGGAGTTTATAAAACAAATATAAAGGAAGGCAGGATGTGAAGCCAATGAGTCCTGAAATCAGGCACTTCCATTAAATATGTTACAAAATGCCCCAGTACTTCAGAAACTCAGAGCATTTTTTCTTTGAGATGGAGTCTCACCCTATCACCCAGGCTGGAGTGCAGTGATGAGATCTCAGCTCACCACAACTTCGGCTTCCTGGTTTCAAGTGATTCTCCAGCCTCAGCCTCCTGAGTAGCTAGGATTACAGGCATGCACCACCATACCCAGGTAATTTTTGTATTTTTAGCAGAGACGGGGCTTCATCATGTTGGTCAGGCTATTATCGATCTCCTGACCTCATGATCCACCCACCTGGGCCTCCCAAAGTGCTGGGGTTGCAGGTGTGAGCCGCTGTGCCCAGCCCTCAGAGCATTTTCAAACATATGTTTTCTAATAATATTGTTTTATCTCATGTCAACTGTTATTCCTTTTTGTCTCTCAAATGAAATGCTAATAGTTGGAGCCAATGTCTGTCCCAACAATATCCTTAAACTAGGATTTGGCAGACATATTTAAACCTTATACATTCAAGATGAAACAAACCCTGTCCTAAGAATATTAGCAAATAAAACTTGCTGAATATTAATTTATTTAAATCACCAAAGGAAGGAGAGTAACTATCATTAAAAAGGTATTCTTTAAAAATCAAAGTTTACATTCATTTTAGAATTATTTTAGTCTTGCTGAACAAATACTTATGAGGCTAAATATGAATAGAGATTTATGGTATGATTTCATCCATGTAAGGCAATAACACATCCCCCTTATTTTACTGATTAAAAGAATAAAATAGTCTAGGTGGAAATATAGACAATATTTGGTCTTGAGACACACTTGACTGTATATGGTAAACCTTTTGCTCACCTCCTCCAGAGGGAAAGGATAATAATGTTGTTATTATTATTATTATTATTATTATTATTATTTTGAGATGGATTGTCACTGTCACCCAGGCTGGAGTGTAGTAGCCTGATCTTGGCTCACTGCAACCTCCGCCCCCCTGGTTCAAGGGATTCTCCTGCCTCAGCCTCCCAAGTAGTTGGGATTACAGGAGCCTGACACCACACCAGGCTAATTTTTGTATTTTTTTTTAACAGAGACAGGATTTCACCATCTTGGCCAGGCTGGTCTTGAACTCCTAGCCTCGTGATCCGCCTGCCTCAGCCTCCCAAAGTGCTGGGATTACAGGCATGAGCCACCGCACCCTGCCAATATTAATATATTTAAGTGGTCTTTATCTTTTCTTTCTGGACTGTGGAATGTAGTGCATCAATAGATGAAGTTCACAGAACAGTGGAAGGGTTAGCTCAGAATTTCTCCCCTCTCAAAGGCTTCCCTTCCTTATCACATTGTTGCTTAGTCACTCAGGCTAAGTGAGAATGGGTGCTAAGCCTCTGAAAACGGATAAGCATACTCCAAGTGAAAATACCCATTCGCTTCTAATACTAATAAACTGTATGATACAATGCAGGACATTTTCCATCTTTTGCCATTGGATTCTAATATGTAAGAGGTAGAAATCTATCTTTCTATTTATTTAACAAGCACTGGCATGCCACTTACTGTGTTCCTAAATATCACATCACATGTTTTTAGCAATAAAAGAGGGTCTTCTGGCAT